CTACTGCCCCCCATTCACTGGCAACCCCCCCCCCGGCAAGAAATAAGACACTCACCCTCACAGCTCCGGACATCCCCAGGAACAAGGCATTTGCCTAGGGTGGCATCTTTCAGGGGGGCAGTGCCGCCCCCGAAAGAAGGAAAGGAAGAAGGGACACACACAGCACGGGTGTCAAGGTCCTACCTTTTCCCTGAGGTTATGTGACTCCATGTGCTGGCGTCCATCTTGATTTTCTGCTGTGCATGGTGGGAATCCTTTTATGCCTTCAGGTCTCTGAGGTCCATCCCCCAGAGGGGTGTGGCTGATGACATATAAGCCTGTGGTCCGCACATGCTCTTTGCACTTGTGTCTTGTGTCTTTGTGTTGCTATTACTCTGTTCTGACTCTTGTGACTCCTGGTATCTGATTTGGCTTGTGACTCGACTATTCTTTGTATTCTCCTTTGATCTGACCCTCTGTTGCTGAACCCGGCTCGTGACCTGTGATTCTCGTCTGCTGTCCTGTACTGTTTTGTCCTGCTGTTGTTGATCCGGCCTGACTACTCTTTTGTCTCTTCCACCAGCTACACGCCATTGGCGGCGGCTATTACCGCAGCTGAGGTGTCTCGGGGGCCGCGACCTGGTTCCTGGCTGCGTCAAGTCCATCCCCACCATCAGGGGCCCTGGTGAAGGGCAGCCTGGGACTTAGACTCCGCGCCCTGAGGGACTTCGGTCTGTGGGTGGTGGTTGTCGTCAGCCAGTGCGTTACATTGTTAGGCCTGCCTGTCCGTTCATCGGTCCCCGCCCTGACAACGGGGACCAGGTGGGATCTGAGAGAGGTTGTGGGCTACTTGATGGTGTATGCAGAGCCCGACTCTTGTTTGCCTTGTGGTAAATACACCCCTGGATGAATGCACATCTGTCATGAACATAATAATAATCGTGATTGAGTTTTGTATGTATTGATACAGTATACATTGAAAAATGTCCACATATTTGAAAGTTAACTTCGCAATACATCCCTAAAGTTCAAGTTGTCATGTCCTCATAACCTTGGAATAAGGAGAAACTTGATGTCCTTCATTTAGTGGCACAATAGAGATATGCTCTCATTGTCTGAAGTGTCCCAGGATATTGATCTGGGTTTATCTGGGTAAATAGACAATGGGTTGATTTATTATAATTGCAGAGTTCAAAATCTGCTGCAGCTGTGCATGGGAGCCAATCAGCTTCTAACTTCAGTTTGTTCAATTAAGCTTTGGCAATAAAACCTGGAAGCTGATTGGTTTGGCTGATTGGGAGTTGCACCAGACTTTGCACTCCCCAGATTTAGGAAATTAACGTCTCTTCAACAATGCACATGTATGAGTTCTTAAGTCTCGTAAACATAGACTAGGGGGTTTATGTTAACCAACGTCTGACCATCCTATAGCAGAAGTACTGCTACAGGGTGGCAGGGATGCGCAAAATCACGTATATATACATTATTTTGCATTTCTGGGTAGGGGGAGCCCGCGCCCTCTACCCGCACCGCTGATACTCAGCCGGGATTTGGTGATCGTCGGCGGAGATAATGAGGAGAGGTCTGTATGTAAACAACACAGATCTCTCCCCTCTCAGCACGAGCAGGCTGCTTTGTATTGTTCTGCAGAGCAATACAATTGCAGCGCAGAGCAATGCAAAGCAACTTATCTACATAGTAAAACACACACAGCACACTATGTAAAACACAACACAGCACACTGTTAAGCCTTTGATTGCCCCAGATGTTAACCCCTTCTTGCCCCAGTGTCTTTTTATTAGCATTGATCACTGTATTAGTGTCACTGGAAATGTCAGTGGCAGTTAGTCAGTTCCCCCCAGTGTCAGAATGCCTGCCGCATTCCCGCAATAAGTCGCTGATCGACACTAATACTAGTAAAAAAACAGTATACATACCACCACTTGTAGACGCTATAACTTTTACGTAAACCAAATAATTTACACACATTGAGATTTTTTTTTTTAGCAAAGACATGTAGCAGAATACATTTTGGCCTAAATTCATGAAGACATTTTTAATTTTTTTTACTGGATAGGTTTTATAGCAAAAAAGTAAAAAATTTATTTTTTTTTCAAAATTGTTGGTCTTTTTTTGTTTATAGAGCAAAAAATAAAACATGCACAGGTGATCAAATACCACCGAAAGCAAGCTCTATTTGTGGAGGAAAAAAGGACATACATTTCATTTATGTACAACGTTTCATGACCACACAATTGTCAGTTAAAGTAACGCAGCACAGCATCACAAAAAATGGCCTGTCGGGTAAATCCTCTGGAGGGCAAGTGGTTAACTTTTTGTCCTGTTAATCAGTACAATAAAGAGAAGACACTCTATGTATCTTGCCATAGGATGTTGGCCTGTGTTTTCTAGGTCCAAGGTTTGTAAAACAGATACCATTTGGAGATTAACTAGTTGCCGACCGCAGATAGCCGAATGACGGCTGCACTATGGGCCGGCCAGTTCTGAGTGGACGTCATATGACGTCCTCCCAGAACGCACTCTCCTGCGCGCGCCCAGGGGGCGCGCACCCGGCGATCTCCATGATCGCTGTGTCCTACGGACACAGCTGATCACGTGATGTGGTAAAAGGCCAATCACAGCGGCCTTTTACCACTTGATCAGCGGTGTCCAATGACACGCTGATCAGAGGGAAATGCAAGTGCCGGTTCTCGGCTGCACTTTCCTCACGCTGTCAGATCGTGAGGAAAGTACTGCCGAGAACCGGCAGTTGTCAGTGCTGCCTCATCAACGCACATCAGTGAAGGAGAAAAAATACCTGTTTGAAAAATTTTATAATAGAAACAAAGAAACTTTTTTTTTTTTTCAAATTTTTTGCACTTTTTTTATTTATAGCGCAAAAAGTAAAGCGCCCAGTGGCGATTAAATACCACCAAAAGAAAGCTCTATTTGTGAGAAAAAATTTCATATGGGTACAATGTTGCATGACCGCGCAATTGTCAATCAAAGTGCGGCATCGCTGAAAGCTGAAAATTGGCCTGGTAAATAAGGGGGTATAAGTGCCTGGTAGGCAAGTGGTTAATAAAAAGAGTCTCTCCAAAGTGTTGTTTCTTCTCATTGTCAGACAATGGAAGACCCGCTTGGATTATAGATACTGTGTACAAGTTGTAAAACTTGTTTGGAGCGTCAATTTTCTCCATTGTTCATTGACTGAGAAGTCAGACTACCCCTTACTGGCCACTTTATTAGGTACACCTGTTCAATTGCTTGGTAACACAAATTGCTAATCAGCCAATCACATGGCAGCAACTCAACACATTTAGGCATCTAGACGTGGTGAAGACGACGTTCAAACCGAGCATCAGAATGGGGAAGAAAGGGGATTTAAGTGACTTTGAATGTGGAATGGTTGTTCGTGCCAGACGGGCTGGCCTGAGTATTTACAAAACTGCTGATTTACTTGGATTTTCACACACAACCATCTCTAGCGTTTACAGAGAATGGTCTGAAAAAGAGAAAATACCCAGTGAACTGGAGTTGTGTAGAAGAAAATGCCTTGTTGATGTCAGAGGTCAGAGAAGAATGGGCAGACGTGTTCAAGATGATAGAAAGACAACTGTATGATCAGAATTTGGCATAAACAACATGAAAGCATGGATCCACCCTGCCTTGTATCAACGGTTCAGGCTGGTGGTGTAATGATGTGGAGGATATTTTCTTGGCACCAGCAAAATGTACCTAATAAAGTGGCTGGTGGGTGTAAATTTTCCAAGTTGTCAAACCAGTTTGTCTTTGATTTAATTCTGACCCTAGGAATCCTTAAAGTGATGCTTTAATATTTTGACCTTTCCACAACTTAGACCAGTTAGCATTAAACTCAAAAATCCTATGTCCTATTTTTAATCCACAGATGCTCTGACAATTCCTAGGGGACCAATCGCTTCCTCCCTGAGTATAGACAGATACCACTGCTGTGGCTTTGTCCATCTTAATATTGATCAGAGTGGAGAAAGGATTTCCTAGACTCCAGAGCTGGAACTATGCCCTGACCTAGCTTTGGTTTTGCAATGTGAAGTCTGGGAAAAACAAAAGGAGCTCTTTTTGGAATCAGAGGTGGATAACGTTTTGACAGTTTGATGCTTAGTCTTCTTCTACTGCAGTAAAGCAGTACTCTTACCACTAATTGTGTAGCAGCCAACCAAAGAGATGTTCACCATCACCAACAAAAACCACAAGTAGTAAGCATTTTTAATTTGGTCTAGCTGCAGACTAACATTTTCCCTAAAGTTTGACAGGTGCACATCATGGCTACAGAAAGTTGCATATCAGGGCCTGCTAGTGAAAGCAAGGATAAGGATTTAGGAAAAAGATTCCAAACATTTGCTGCTCAACAGAATGTAGTTGAAGTCTTGGTTTAAGAAAAAAATTCTTAACAAAAAAAAAAGGGTAGTACAGGGGGTAGACATTTCTCAGTGGAGAAAAGATGCCTATGCTCCTTGAACATTAGCAAAATATGAAAACATGCTTAGAGTAGAATAGGGTATACTGTGCTGTCCAATGGATTTTTTTTGCCAGTGCCAAATCCATCTGATGGCAGAAATATACCCAATCCTCTCTGAATTTTGTGTTCCTTTCCTAAATGATAAAGTAATTCATGATTTCTACAAGAAGGAATATTTTACATCAGTGTTTCTCAAGTTGGTCTGAGGGCCAAGGGTGTGGGCTTGGTGGTCCACAGCTATGCTGTGATGTGGATGAGCAGTGGGAGAAGTATTTGATGCTGACAACAACTGACCCGTGAATTGCACCTCACTGTACTATCGAACATGTTATATACGCGGGGAGGAACTTCAGTTGCGCGGTGACGTCATATCCGGCACAGGCGCCATCTTGGTGCACCCTACACCCATGTAATACACCCATAGTGTGGTGTGAAGGCGTTTTTTGACCTGGATACATGTGAGTGGGCAATTTTATTGTATTTGCTTGGCTTCAAATTAAACAGTACTATGCTATGGTGGATGTTCTTTGTTTTATTACTGGGGCCCAGGGGCGGACTGACCATTTGGAAACTGCCCGAGGGCCTGGGGTCAGTAGGGGGCCCCATGAGATGCCCCTGGTACCTTTTTCATAGGCTTTTTTGAGTTTGGGCAAGGACACAGGGGCCCCATGATCCCCTATTGCCTGGGGGGCCCCATGAGTTGTCAGTCCGCCCCTGCTGGGGCCCTACATGGAGAAAATCTAATGCGGCTGATGGCAGTAGCTGGAGGAGATTTGTAAGGAGAGGAGAGAGTGCCACTATTGATGACCATAAGTGGGTTACTGACCTAGGAAGAGCACCACCTGTGGGGATTGAAGGGTGATCCACAAAGCGTGCTGGCCCTGTGGGGTCTTTGTAAGAAGGTGAGGGGGCAATCTGGCTATTGGAGGAGTAACACCTATGATCACGGTCACGGGATTATCACCTGCATGTGTGTGATGTTCATCTGGAGCACTGAATTTGCTGTGGATTTTTATGTGTATATACGTAGGGGGTTCATATGGACATTGGGGGGATTGTGAGTTTTTTATAGTGTGGTACACTTTTTTTTCACTTGTTCTCATCCCTATTAAGGGATGGACTCACTTTATTGCACTTATTTATGATACCTCAGATGAGGATCAGGAAGGGGGTTGTGTTGATTGTATGATTTATCACGCATATATATATATATATATATATATATATATATTTGTGTTATTATATGTTATATACTGATTGAGTTAGTAGGTATTTAGCGCTGCACTACTTATATTGTGATTTTCATTCACTCCCTTATTATCTCACGACTCGACTACTGCAACTCCCTCCTCACCGGCTTACCTCATCACAGACTATCCCCGCTTCAGTCTATCCTGAACTCAGCGGCCAGACTTATCCACCTTACCAACCGCTCCATATCTGCCACCCCCCTCTGTCATTCCCTCCACTGGCTTCCGATTGCCCAACGCATAAAATTTAAACTACTAACATTGACATACAAAGCTATTCATAAATACTGCCCCAAACTACATCACCGACCTGATATCCAAATACCACCCAACACGTACTCTTCGCTCCTCACAAGACCTCCTACTCTCCAGTTCTCTGGTCTCCTCCTCCCATGCCTGACTCCGGGACTTCTCCAGGTCTTCCCCCATCCTCTGGAACTCACTACCCCAATCCATCAGACTGTCATCTACCCTCCTCACCTTTAGGCGCACCCTGAAAACCCATCTCTTCAGGGAAGTCTACGCTGCCCTCACCACCTAACAGCCGATCTCCTCCACTCCTCCTACCACTCCATCCCCCACAGCCATTTCCTCCTGTACCACTATCCCCTCCCTCCTAGATTGTAAGCTCCAAGGAGCAGGGCCCTCGAACCCCTTGTGTATTGTATTGTTACTGTATTGTCTCATGTACTGTCCCCCACTATAATGTACAGCGCTGAGCAAACTTTTTGGTGCTATATAAATACTGTATAATAATCACCAGGATACAAAGGCAGCGTAAGTCACAATAGTGAAAACACACAGCACTAAACATTTTACAGCAGTTCTAACCCTTCCCCAATCTCCTGAAAACAAAATTTTGTCTGTAGATACTTTAAGGTCCATTAGCTGTGTACATTAAACAGTATTACAAAAACTGTCTTGGATGTGTCTGCATTTAAGCAACTCATTATGGCCATAGTATAAATTATTATCCTTCCAAGCAGGTCTCTGGAGAAGACTTTATTATTTGTTTTTACATACACTTTCATGATCTATAGATGGCTCTTTGTGGTTGCCAATCACGTGATCACTATAATTAATCAATTGTGGTGATTACAGAGAAAGTCTGTGCACAGCAACAAGCTTTCCTGCGGTTATTATGCATCTCTTTCCCTCTAAGCTTCAGCTGTGAAGAGGCAAGATTTTTGTGATATGCTGATTTACAATATAAAAAGAGTGTGAAGAAAGAAAAAAATAAAAGGATTAAAGCACAGTGCTGAAAATGCCTACTATCCTGAGATCTAAAACATACACACGTAACTGTTGACCCCATACAGCAGTGTAGTATTTGTCAAAATATACACTTATTTGAAGTCCGTGTAATCAGGAGAAACAGGAGAAAGCAATTAGATAAAACATTTGAAATAGTATTAGTTAAGCAAAATATATCATACAAAACAGGCAATAAAAATATGTTACAGGAGGGAAAAACTCAGTGAAAAAAAAAAAAACAGGAAATAACACTCAAAATATAAGCAAAAAACTAAAACGGGTGCTGTGTCCACCGCAAAACTCAAAGAAAGGGCTTTATAGTGAGGACAAATTCTATTTATCTGTTTCATTTATTGATACCACTCCATTATAGAAGATAGAGCAAGAGCAAAAAAACTTGACTGACTGAACAAGGAAGCTCTTCCCCAAGGCAAAGACGATTACATTACTGCCTGAACAATTTTGAGCTCATAACTGACATCCAATATTCCCCCTTAAAATATAAAAGTACAAACAGATGACCAAGTAACTGCCTTGCAGACATGCAAAACTGACACCTGATGGCAAAAAGCCCATGAGGCACTCAACTTCCTTGTGGAATGAGCTGGAACAGAAAACAGGTCCGTGTGTCCAATAAAAAAAAAAAATCCTTAATAATAGTTAAAAACTGAGTTCTTCGGGAAGTAAAGAGGCTTAACCACTGACAGATGTTTCTCCTAGGCTGAGCTTTTATTTTGTACCTAGGGTGGCAGCATAACCCAATTCAAGATTAGGAGAGCTGAGTCCATCATAAATAAAACAGAAAACTGCTTTGGTAACATTACTGACACACTGCAGAATATGTGCTATCTTTGCTTTTGTCCATAACGACACTCTACACATAATCCAGAAATTTCACAAAATGTCTTTGTCTGTGGTAAATTTGTCAAACAGTCCCATAAGCTAAAGTAAGTGCATGGCAAGAAGCAGGGGCGGACTGACTATTTGGAAACTCGGGCACTGCCCGAGGGCCCGGGGTTAGTACGGGGGCCCCATGAGATGCCCCTGGTACCTTTTTCATAGGCTTTTTTAAGTTTGGGCAAGGACACAGGGGCCCCAAGATCCCCTATTGCCCGGGGGCCCCATGAGTTGTCAGTCCGCCCCTGGTAAGAAGCTTCTTTCAATATTCTCCTAATTAAATGGCATGACATGTCTGTGTTTCTTAGAAGATGGAATGCCAAATGTTCATCTAGTATGGAAGGAGGCAACTGGAACATCTTGAAATTCTATTACTAAATAGGAAAGATATGGAAAATCTTTGGATCTTCAATTAATTGGCCTATCATGACAGAGGGCATATAGGGCCTACATGCATCTTTTTTTTTTTTATGTTGCATGCTAAAATTATAGCTGAACATGCATACATTGATTTTTTTGCTCGATCAACCACTCAATTAACTCATTTTAATTGTTCTGATTTTTTAAAACAATTCTTTATAATACAAGTAATATATTTGCCTGTGTCAATCACAATGTCTTTTTAAGAATAATTTTACTGACGTAGTAATTATTAATGATTTGTATTTATTAATGTGATTTGTCTGTTTGACCAGATATAACATAATAAGGACTTCCCCTGTGTAAAAAACAACTCAATCTTTCAAATGATCATTCAATAAAATGAATGGGATATTCCAACCCATCCAATTGGGATGCAAATAAAAGTTTAAAGGATATTTTCACCTTTCTGAACATGTTATACCCATATGTAGTGTCTCCTTGTGGCAGCGAGCAGGGGAACTTCCCCTCGAACTCATTGCCACAATTTAAAGAGAGCAGATCCCAGCACAGCCACGTCATTGATTCACAGATCCCTGTGAATCAATTAACTACAAGTACTGACAACCTTTGTGGCTATCAGCTTGTAGCTCTCAATGAACTATCATGTAGCTGTTAAGCTCTGTAGTAGTTCATTCATTCTTCCTGTCTGTGTAAAACCGCCTACTTGTATGAGGTATGAGCAGACAGATTACACTGACAATCTGCAGGAGATCTGCATGGCACCAGCAATCTACTGATCGCTGATTCAATGCTTTACAGGCTCCTAAAATGAAAAATAGTAAATGCACATCTGTTTACCTGCAAAAAAAGTACATTTATTATTTTTGCAACAAGGTAAACTTATCCTTTAATTCAAATGAAATATCAAAATCAGCAGTTCATGGCGGTCAGAGTGCTGCTTAAATGGTTCCATGCCACCCTATAGCAGAAATACTGATACAGAGCAGCACATGTGTGCAAAATCACACATATATATATACAGTCAGGTCCATAAATATTGGGACATCGACACAATTCTAACATTTTTGGCTCTATACACCACCACAATGGATTTGAAATGAAACAAACAAGATGTGCTTTAACTGCAGACTGTCAGCTTTAATTTGAGGGTATTTACATCCAAATCAGGTGAACAGTGTTGGAATTACAACACTTTGCATATGTGCCTCCCACTTCTTAAGGGACCAAAAGTAATGGGACAGAATAATAATCATAAATCAAACTTTCACTTTTTAATACTTGGTTGCAAATCCTTTGCAGTCAATTACAGCCTGAAGTCTGGAACGCATAGACATCACCAGACGCTGGGTTTCATCCCTGGTGATGCTCTGCCAGGCCTCTACTGCAACTGTCTTCAGTTCCTGCTTGTTCTTGGGGCATTTTCCCTTCAGTTTTGTCTTCAGCAAGTGAAATGCATGCTCAATCGGATTCAGGTCAGGTGATGGCCATTGCATAACATTTCACTTCTTTCCCTTAAAAAACTCTTTGGTTGCTTTTGCAGTATGCTTTGGGTCATTGTCCATCTGCACTGTGAAGCGGTGTCCAATGAGTTCTAAAGCATTTGGCTGAATATGAGCAGATAATATTGCCCGGAACACTTCAGAATTCATCCTGCTGCTTTTGTCAGCAGTCACATCATCAATAAATACAAGAGAACCAGTTCCATTGGCAGCCATACATGCCCACACCATGACACTACCACCACCATGCTTCACTGATGAGGTGGTATGCTTAGGATCATGAGCAGTTCCTTTCCTTCTCCATACTCTTCTCTTCCCATCACTCTGGTACAAGTTGATCTCGGTCTCATCTGTCCATAGGATGTTGTTCCAGAACTGTGAAGGCTTTTTTAGATGTCGTTTGGCAAACTCTAATCTGGCCTTCCTGTTTTTGAGGCTCACCAATGGTTTACATCTTGTGGTGAACCCTCTGTATTCACTCTGGTGAAGTCTTCTCTTGATTGTTGACTTTGACACACATACGCCTACCTCCT